AGGAAGTAGCAAGAATATAGCTCCTGCGAAGGTGCAACTGAAATGGCGGCCATTCGAGAACAGATTACTAATGTGTTGGTTAATATGTGATTGATTTGTAATTTGTTAGAAAGACAAAACAATTGTAACTTATGCGTGTTTGGTAATAGAAGTTACTTATATGCCCTAGTGATGTAATAAATTACTTTATTAAGGCTTAAAACTTTTTCATAAATGGTTATGGAAGATTATTTTATCGATCTATATATATACTAAATGTTTAAATTTACACCATAGTTATAGTTAGTTTTATATATTCACATATATTAATCAATTTAATATATAAATATATAAATTTATGAATAGTTTAAACAAACAGGGGCAATATGGTTATTTTCCAGAAACAGTTACCCCACAGCTGTTTTCACACAGCTGCACCAAACAGACAGCTAGCTTCCCCGCAGTTGCTTTTTGGGGCAGCGCAGCTGCAGCTGAAAAGCTGAGAAGCTGCAACTATGCCAAACAGACCCTGAATTTCAATTCCTTCCGAACCAATGATTATATTTCCAAAATTCCAACATTAGAAATACAATACATTGATAATGTTGCTGACCAAACAACCCCTTAATAAATGGTAAATGCAGCAAAATAGGTTTTTAAAAATAACTTCCTAGTAAACATTACTATAGATGGCAACTTTAGAAGACGACTATAGCATACTTCTTTATTGAAATGTGAAGCAGTGTTCTAAAGCCAAAATATCCCTTATAGAAACATCAATTTCATATATTCAAACATTTCACCATCCCGAGTGGATTTTTTTTTCACCTTAAAGTTCACATGATGGGATTTATTATATGGACTTATAGCAACAAAATTAGGAGGCACCCACTATCAAATGTAAGGTTAATTCAATCACTCCGCCATCTAATACGTATATAGGCATGAAAAGTGCTAATATAGCCCAATATACCATTAATGATATTCCGTAAGACCTGGAGCAATGATTATGTTGCCAGATTAGGACAAGCATGAATATCAAGTCACATGTAACAAGTACGTTCAATAATAAAGTTAAACCCTTGTAAGTTCAGAATGACAACTGAATCTGCTACTAGAAACGGAAAAGAAAAAAAAAAGTAAATTTGGCTGATGACCAAAAGCCCCTAGGAAAAGCAAACTCAACAAAATATGGCATTTGAATGATTAAAGTTTTATTGCTCACCATCAAATCTCCTTATAGAGAAACACTCAAATTGACCAAGTATATCTCTAATTGTGGAGTAGGGTTGCAAATCTATAAGCGAAACTTCAGAACTTGAAGGAATTAAAGCTTTAGCACAGGCAAAAAATCCTGGAGATAACGGACAATGAAGAGACTTCCATGCAGGCTAATAGGTATATACCCAAAAAAGGCACAAGACCAATTGTTTAATTAGAACCGTTGGGATTTAAAAAAACCTATATGATCAAGAATGGTTTTTAAAGTAAGGCATGACTCATAGCATTCAAAAGAACCTCAATCAACATATAATTTTAGCATTGAAAATTATTTTTGGGATCAAATGAGCTCCCAAAAATACAAATCTAGTATCGTAATGACCATTTCATCAATAGATGCATCCAAAAACTTTAAAAAAAATATAAATCTAATCATGAAAAGAGGCCAAATTTGCTAAATCAGCACACGCCAGACAAGCCTAAAATAAATTGGAAATCTATACCTCCATATTCATGACACAAGAATGGCCGTACCATCGCCTTTCTAGAATATGCTAGATCGGCACACCAAAAAGGTCTCAAAGCAAGAATTTGTCTAGTGGCATCTGTTCATCCTAAGGTGGGCTCATTATGATGCATTTTAACAAAGTTTGGTCTTTTGAAGTCCTCACAACCTCGATGTATATCTATTTCACAAGCTATTTTTGATGGATGATTCCTCTTAAAGAGATGAACATTATTATAGAAATGGTAGCCTAGTATCAATATTTTTTAAATATTGATGAATAATACCTAATTCTCTTAAAAGTACCGCATGTAGATTTAATGCCTCTAAAGAAAGATCATTACCGTTGTATGAAGCATGGCACAGACAACAATAACAAGAATCATAAACAGTCAAGCCTGATCCTATAAAAGAGATTATAATTCATGAGTATTTTGAAGGATTTATAAGATGAAGAAAATGACTCGCAATCTCAACATAAATCTACATCCAATGATGTTGAAAGTAATCAACACTTACACTAAAGCATGTTCACGAATTTAATTCAAAAATTGAACAAGTGTCGATTTGAATTTAAAATCAAAGTGCAAGGCAATATATGAACCTAAATTTTTAATAGAACTAAAATCTATATTTGATTATGAGCTTGAACTTCTAAAAGAAGTCGAATTTATCCTTGAATATGAATTCAAAGTTCAAATAGAAATTGAAAATAGTATTATTAGAAGGGTTGGGCGCCCTCAACATAATGTCACTACCTAATGCCAAAGGTCCAGCCTAAAATATACGAGCTAAAAAGTTTCAAAATTATAAGGAACGCTTTTGAAAATTATATATAACAATAATTATATGAAATTATTACATTATAGTAGGCAAGAAAATACATTTTTAAGTTTTAATTCATTATGAATGCCAAAATAATCCACTTGAAGCCCATCACTAGATAAATAAATCTATAGCTCTTTATCTATTTTCTAGGCTCATATCATCAACTAAATCTAATGTAGTAAAACTAACAGCACTCGTGCCTGTATGGTTTACCGTGCTTTCTTGTGATCATCTAATTTTCTTTAACTGCTAAAGCATTTCTACATCACTGATGACAAAAATAAATTTAAGCTGATGAATTTAGGTGGGAGTTACTAGTTGCCAAGCTCAATTTAATAAGGTGGTTGATATGTGGTAGATGATTGAAAAGAACAAATAGTTTTCAAAGGATACTTCATTCTTTTATCTGAGAAAGAAACTCCCTATAAAGTTTATTGTTTGATAAAGCACCTAATCTATCATTATCAATTGGTCACTATGAAAATGCTCCGGTCAAGGCAAAACTACATGCTTTAATATCTAATTAATTTAGCTTAAGAAAACATAGCAAAATTAAAAATAGATAAGAAGAAGAATTGAGGTTTATTGTGGTATTGACAACATTGGAATAGCCAAGTTCACAAACTTGACTATTTGAATTTGGCCCTGGCTGTTTTGATAGGAAAGTTGCAATACAACAGAAAAAGTTCATTCTCTTGACAAGCTAAACTTATAAGACACCTTAGGAAAACAAGCCGAGCTTTTTCTTCTTCGTCTTTTTTTACAAGCTTTTTTGGAGGTCAAGTTCATTTTAAACCTAACCCCAAGAACTTGGCCAACTTTAATGAAATGCACAAATCCTGAATTGCATTTCCAAGATCTCCTTTTTTTTCTTTTTGCATCTATTTTAGCGATTAACTATAGGACACATCAAGGGAAAAAAGCGTCAGCTTTTTCATGGTTCGTAGGCATAAAACAAATTTTTTCATGGTTCGTAGGCATAGCATCCAAAGATTTTGGTGGATCCCCATTGGTGGATTCCCATAAGATATACTTACATTATTACGCGATGGATTACAAAGCCCAAAAACTACTTTCATACATGTTAGAAACCTCAAAATACATAAAAAGTATGAATACAATTTTATAAAAGTCTCTGTAAAAGGTCCATGTATCATAGGTATTCCCAAAACCCTCGTTAGTCCCTTTGTATACTAAAGGAGAACTTAAAAGTGAAATAATCTTTAGATCTTTTTTTTTTTTCATCTTTCCCAAAACCCTGACCCACTTTTGATCTTAAGCTTCATACTCATTGTTCGTACTTTCAAATGCATTATAATTTCATTACAAATTATCCAGTTTTCTAAGAACAAACAAACATAACACCCAACACCACCTACATTTGGTTATGCATAAAGGCCAACAAGTTCATAACTTCATATAAGCTTGATTTTTCCTCTCATTGTTGAACCACTATAAACATTAAGTACTTGTTCAATTTTTCCTCTCCCTCTACCAACTTTAAGCACCATACTCATTGTTCTGCTTTTGTGTGAATTGTGACATTAAAAATTATCACCATTCCCAAAAGTAATTTTAACACCCAATACATACAACACAGCACCCTTCTTCAAGGGGTGCGTAAGGACCAGTAGAGGTACTAAGGCTCAGGTTGCTCAATTATAAGCTTAATATCCTAACAAGGATCGAGCGCACATTCCACCTGGGATTCCTATGATGAGGCCCGTTTCGCAAACAGTCCTTTGTTCAACAGGTTGCATTGTAATTATTTAGAAAATCACTTGTCACTATACACTTAACGTACTATTGATATGGAATTAAGGATGTAAAATTATTTATTGAATCTATGAATTTGTTAAGAGAAAAGTGGTAAAAAGACTATTCTAAACTAATAATGAACAAAAGGATAGAGACATAACTGAATTGCAGCACTGTAGCCACATTTAAGATCAATTTCTCCATGAATTTCATAGTTTAGGGACCTTCACGTAATTCTAATTTCTAAATACTTGTTTCATAGCAATAAATGGCCTTAAAGCACAACTAGCCTTAGACATCAACGAATGCATATACAATGAGCTATTACATTAAATCAATTAATGAAATTGTATTCCGTGAATAATGTGCTGACAATTTTTTTAAGAACATAAATTAACCTCAATGTTTGGGAGGAATGGGCTAAAGAAATAATCAAGGAGGTTCCAAACCGAAAAAAGTATAAAGCTTCAAGTTTATAAGATTCATTCTTCTTAGTGATGCACGGTAAAACTCTCTATCGCTATTAATAAAAATCCAACAGCATCACAGGTTGAGTAAGCATTTTTAATGTCATTCTGAATCCTAGAGCAGAAAAAAGTCAAAAAAAAACTAATGTGAAACAAAATTTGCCCGAGTTCAAAACAAGAATATTTTCCAGCACTAAAAAGTTTATTAGAAACAACAGATTTAACATCAGAATGATACTCACAGGACCACAGGAACGACAGTCAAAAATTTCCTGTTACGAGTAAGTTGCTTGCCATTATCAATTTGCTCCCACCACGTCAAATTATTGTATATACCCTGGTCTTCAGCAAAGGGAGTTCCCTTTCTCCAATGGAAAAACTGGTAAGTAATCTAAAACAAGAGAAGGTATAAGACAAACTAAAAAATTAATGGAAACATTAAAAATGTGTGCTAGAAAGCAAAAGAGAAAAGAAGTTTTCAAAACTAACGATGCATGCAATTCAGTATTATGCAATCGGACTTCAAAAAAATAACATAAAATGTGTAGCTGAGAAAAAGCATTATTAATAACAGCAATATACAAAAAAGACCTAGAGACAGGATAAGTCCTATCATGAAGATTTCTTTGATGCATAAGCCAACTATCGTCAAAATTAGCATTCTCTAATGCCATATGAGGTGGTAACTTCATTTTGTGCAAGCCTTGAAAAAAATTCCTGCCATATTATCACCTATTTTCTTTCCTAGTCCCTCCACATTAAAAACCTATCAACTCACCATATTGGTGCATCTTCATACCTCCATTGTACATCTCACCGTTATTATCTTCATAGATTCTAGTCTCCCTCTAAAATAAATCATTTTTACTTTAATATTCTAACCTTTTCCACACATAAAACTTACAATTCTCACTTCTCCAAGCTAAATTTCTCCCTTAGCCTTCTGTTGCACGACGATCAAAGTCAAAGTGTCAATAATAATTGTTTAACTTTACCTTCAAGTCTATCAATATTTTCACTACACAGTGCCCTAAGGCTGTATAAACTTTGATCGCTCAACTCACATAGAAGTGTATATGCATGTATGACCCAAACATATTATAAGTAGGTCAGGATACTTAAATACATGCATCTATACATTGCGTGATCTGCCAAGTATAATAAATAATATAGATATCGAGTCCACATGCAATTAAATTAACTATAATACACAAAATTTTGTTCCATAAATTACAAGCCACTGATCTTTGCAAAATTTGTTCATCATTCAAACTTTTCACTATAGAAGAAAACTTATTTTCATGAATGCAACACACAAAAGTGTCTAAATAAATAAACAAATTCATAAAAATTTCTTATTGATTAAATTTATAAGCATACTAAGTGGGAAATATTATTCCACAATGACACCCAATCTAATAATTCGTACATTTTATTATATTATATTATATTATATTATATATATATATACAATAATTTTAATATATTTTAGATAACCTTTCTACTTAATGGCCAGCAAATAAATTAGTGATTCTTAAACAACATGTTTCAAAGATCAATAACAGCAATATTAAGATCATATCATTCTCTCATCCTCTTTTATTAATTACTGTATAGTCAAGTGAGTCTTCATGATAGATCATTCAGCATAAAACCAAATAGATTATTCAACATCAAAGTGATTTCTCTAAACTTAGACTCTATTGCCCTTTGTACTCAAAGGAATAGAGCGTTAGTTGGAAACAAAGTAAAGAATCTCAAGAGATATGGCATGAGCATTCACCATACCATGAGAACAGAAAAAAAAAAAAAAAAACCATAACACTCTCATGAAACTTCAATGGATGGCTTATGGCTGGATTCCTTGATTACCCAAATTCTAAACATCCCCATCATTTGTAAAGATTAGAAAAAGATCATTCTTCTATAATCGCAAGGCATTCTCTTAGTATTTAGGCTTTCACTTAAAAAATTTAAGAAAAAACTTATTTACGAAATTGAAACAAGCCTACATGTGCAAATTAGATTCTAAATCTAGAACCAACAAAAGCCTCATTAGCCGCACCCTTTGTAAAATAAAAAATGTGTTAGGCAACTATCATAATATCTCCACTAGCTCTAACTCTCGATTGATCTTTCATTGGACCTAAACTTTTAATTATCATTATGTTTAAATAAACCTCGAGTATAATTTAATATATGTTTTTCTTTCTTTCTTTCCAATGAATATTTTTTTTCCTTTTAATTAATTAAATGATTTCTTTAACAATAATTTAATTTTTCCCTAACATCTCTATCTTTAACTAAAAAAACATTACATGGATTCTTAATAGATTTAACTTCGTCAAAAAATTATAGATTGGCTTTATCTTATCTTCGATATTTTATAAATTTTATGTCCTCTTTTCGCAGCTACCCAATATACCATACGAATAATCAAGAATTATAATCTTGGTTTTGTAGCTATCACATTTACAATATTTATAGCTTTCTTAAATTTCTTGCATGTCTTAATAGAAACTACTTTTTTGATATTCCCTATAGCAAATAATTTTTTTCCTTAATAATTATTTATATCCTCATCTCATAGCCCAGTGATGAGTAAAAAATGTGTGATATGTGTATGTGTGTATCATACTCTTTTATGTATCATCTTAATGCTTTTATGGGGTATATATAGTGTTACTTACAGGATACAGGTCCAGTTCCAAAACCTGAGAACTTTAAAAAATCAAATAGGCTAAGGATAGTTCACACAACTCGGCTCCCCAACAAGCGACTAGGCGTCTAGTGATGATCCCCATTCATGTCAAAATGCAAAGCTATTGACATCTCAACCCCAACCCCTAAGCAACGACGAGCTGCTACCCAACACCACAGCACCAACGCCATGGGGTCAAAAGCCTTAAATCAATGATCCATAACTACGAAATCAAGCGTCCAACACAGCTCCACTGCACCTACACTCAGTGCCCCGACACCATAGGTCAGTGTCGCCACACTGCACCGACATAAGACGGTTTTTTGTGGTTTTGCCTACAGATCCGATGTGGAAAGCATAAAAATCTTCATGAAGGGATGGAGGAAATGAGAAGAGATGAGTAGAGACAGAGTAGAAGTCATTAGGGAGTGTCTGTGTGAGTGTTTAGAGTGTATAATTAGTGTGTTTTCTCTATTATAAGTGTGAGAAAGTGAATCAAAGTGGAGTAACATTGTACAAATAAGAATCATGTTGGAGCAAAATAAGATTCGTATTGGGTTTGATTGTTCTTTATTAGTGTACATCTTTACTTTCAATTTCAGTGAAATTTGCTTGGTTTTCTTTCCACGTGTTTAGGAACTAAAAAATTTATTATTCTTTGATATGATAGTGCACCAATTCTTATTCAATCAATGAGATTTTCCTAAGAATATTTGATAATTAATTACATGTTGGTGTGTTAACTTTTCAAATTTAAATTACTTTCAAAATGACCACTTGAAAAGTTAAAATCACTTATGATCTAGGATTATTGATTGTAGGCTAAAAGAATAAGTAAATTAGCACTCAATCACTAGGCTGAGTAGGAATATTGTCATTAGAAACTGAACTATAGTATGAGGCTTCAATGTTTCTTACGTATAGGAATAGAGTAAGAAATAATTGTCCCTGATTATCAATATTAAGTTTGGGAAATTCAATAACAGAATATTGAGGATTCACATGATCCAATTCAAAAAGACATTATTTTCATTTTCAGAGAGCACAACCTTATTAGATTTTATCTTTTGCAATATTAGAATTTAGAAGCTTTCAAAATTTTCACCATTTTGAACTGAAATTTAGGGTTAGTAAACTAGTATTTTGACTTATTTGTTAATTAACAAAGTTTCTCGCGGGTTTTACTTAGACTTTATTTCCATGTACTACTTAATTGACACATATACTTGCATGTTCTCCCGTGCTTCACAGTATATTTGAGGGAACACCAAGTTTTATTTTATATTATCTACAATTAAACTCTTCTAAAGCTTTCATGACAATATTCTAAATTCAACTACCTATTTTCACCAAGATCGTCTTTAATTTAACTTTAAAGATTTAATTGACCTCTCCTAACAATCAATCTTAAGAGATTAATAGCATCTGTACATTTTAAATTTCATCAGTTTAACCTAAGATAATTTATTTCTTTGACCATGATCTTAGCACTTACTAACAAATTCATAAGCACTACTAATGTTGTGAAATCAAATGTTATTCTAGAATAACTTTAACTTGCTTGATCACTTTCTAAATATTTCTTAAACATAAATCCATCTCATCCTTCAATTTTATGATGAAAACATCAACTACAACGTACAAAGATAACAAGCCCTTTTGCATACATATTGTTGTTATCTTAATGTTTTTTGACTAGCAATTTATGAAGTTCCATAGATCTTAGCTTGAAGGGCACAACTTGAACCCAGCTTTCTTCATTTAGGTGAGTGGAGGTTTTCCTTCACCTGCTATAAGTATCCCCTCCAAAAAAAAGATATAAAAGCCAAACAGAGAACAATGTTGTAATTACAACATTGATTACAAGTGATAAGGACAATAAGTTCCATGTACCTATTATTCATTGTTTTGTAGCCTCGTTGTTGGTCAAAAGTTTGTCAGCCAATGACACTCATGGAAGTTAGGTCAATGACGGCTCCCATATTAGTCTTTCTTGGTGCAAGCAATGATGCTTCAAGTCGACATCATAAAAAAATTGGGTTTTGCAATTAGTTACCCATGCGAGATAGACCCTTTGTCTCGGCCAGTATAGCAAATGTGTCAAACAAAATTCACTATTTAGAATATTTTAGAATGAAAAGCCAATAATCTAACTAATCATCAAGCATCAGCCGTTCAATCTACTAAATCTCACTAGAAAGGGAACTGGCCCACTACTCCAGGCAATCCACAGCTTCTAAAACATCAGGATACCATCAAAGGTGAAATTTTTAGTTGTTTATTGGCTACCGCCTCGTGACAGTCCTACTATGCATCATTGGCCTAATCAGCCTTTTAGGTAACCAACAAATTAGTAACCAAATAGGCATGCCTACCAAACAATGCTTTTGAGCTTTGCTTCAATCAGTTCACATTTTGAGACCTTAACCGTTTCACGCTATAATAATTGTTGTCACAGAAGATGGGCCTTCTTTAAGGTAAACGACTTTACACCCATGTTTTCTAGGAGGGCCGAGGTAGTCCAAATATGCCTATAGATGTTGCAGCCAAGTACACCGCTATAATAGTCTTATTTACATGGCTAGTAGGGCAATATGCATTCCAAAATACCAAGTTAAGCTATGTGAAAGAACCACAAAAATTATTGGGGATCATGGGGCATAACCAAAACTCTATTCCAAAACATGGAG